CCCGCCATCTCGTACGCCGCCCCCGCGCTGTCCCACGCCTCCTACGCCGCCCCCGCCATCTCGTACGCCGCCCCCGCGCTGTCCCACGCCTCCTATGCCGCCCCCGCCATCTCCTACGCCGCCCCCGCCATCTCCTACGCCGCTCCCGCCGTGAGCGCCGTCGGCCTCGCCCCCGTCAGCACCTCCACCCACTCCTTCAGCCGCCACTCTACCTACGCCGCCCCCGCCGTGCACCAGCACGTCGAGCTGCCCGCTGTCCACCATCATGTGGAGGCTCCCATCTACGGCGCCGCTTCCTACCCCCTGCCCCTGCAGAGCAGCTACCTCAACTACTAGATTGAAACCACCACAACGCAGCGGAACAGCAGGTTCTCATTTACCAAACGGATGTTACCACAACTTTGGAAATAAACAATAATATTTTTCCACAACTATGCCCTTAAACACCAACTAAAACCACTATCTGCTCAAAACGTGGGGCCTCTACTCTATTCTTTTGCAGAATGTATATCAGACTGCCAAAATTCCCAGATTGCTAGACGAATGACGAACATTTTGCTTGTAGGCCTAAAATGGCCGGATCTAGGCCAAAGGCACTACTTGCACTCTACCTAATTAGAAATGACTGCGCGAATCGACCTCGAATCGACGTCGACTGCTCGAGAAGTTAACGTCGGTCCTGAGACAAAGTTGTCAACGGAATTTCGACGTTACTCGAGAAGTGCCCTAAGGCACGGCTTAACTCTGCTAATGGGTCTTAAAGTGTTACAGGACGGTTCCTCGTACTAAATTGCTAAATATTTCGCATTGAACATGGTCGATGTCGATTCGAGACTGACTGTACAGTTACGCCGATTCGAGGTCGATTCGATCACTGATTTCTCACGGAGGCTAAATGTAGGCAGAAAGCTAGTTTAGTTAGTGCAGAAGTGTGGGTCCGTGTATAGGGCCGTATGGTGAGAGCCAAACACCTTACCAAAGCAGGCCTTGAACACTTCTCTCACAGTGAGCGTCCAATCTAAGTAAGTGTAATTTGTGAACTGCCCCTAAGATGAACTTCTCTGAGATAAGAAAATGCCGTAACGATGTGGCTAAAAAGTTGTAAAATGGGGTCCCACCCCCACCAAAAACTCATTTGCTAAGTGGGAGTGTGACTTCCTCGGGAATCTTAGGGCAACAAACATACCTTTGAAATAACAAAATAATCGATATGAGGAAAACCGACCTAAGTGTGGATTCAGAGTTCACAAAACGCAAGCGTGATTTTCACGCGAGGCGTGATTTTCACGCTCCGTAAGCTTCGCGCAGCCAACCAGGAACCAACTTTCATCA